AAAGAACTGGAGAAAATCACAAAATACAAAGATCTGCAAATAGAAATAGAATGACTGTAGCAAAAGAAAGCAAAGATAGTACCAATAACAATAGGCGCTTTCGGCGCAATCCCAAAACATCTGGAGAACCACTTAAATACCATCGGCATTGACAAAATCATCATCAGTCAATTGCAAAAGGCAGCTTTACTTGGAACAGCTTACATTCTGTGACGATACTTTTAGTATTATTAAACAACATCTGCCTATGCCAGGTCCTTGGGAATGACTCACTAGGTGGACAAAAATGCCAAATCCTGTAAACATCTGGCTGACTATGTGACCAACCATAATAAATAATGGTTATATGCCGCCCAACTCCCAGTGACTCTGGGCAGTTTACAAATTGTTAAAAACATTTAAAAATAACACAAAACAAAGGAACGGAGATGGCAGAGAAAATAAATCTGGATAGGAACAAGGAAAAGAATGAAAAGGGACATTAATTGTCTTTGCTAAAGGCCTGGGCAAAGAGCCAAGTCTTCAGGGCCATTCAAAATACCATTAAGGGGGGGGGGTTCCAATCTTGGGAACCTCATTCCAGAGGGCAGGTGCTACTAAAGAGAAGGCATGCTTCTGGGTTTCCAATAGGCATTGTTTAATTAATGAAACTCAGAGCACACCAACCTTGCCAGATCAAACCAGCTGGGCAGATACTATGGGAGATAAAATTTTTATCTACAACCCTCAAGAGTTGATTGCCCAGGGACTTCTCAAGGGCTTAAACTCAAAGCTGCTTCTTCCCACCTTTCCAAATTAACAGATACTTGGCACAGGGCATTTAGTGGCAAGTCAGGCGGTTGGGGTATGTTTCTATAACAACCATTTGTAGCCTGGGAACTGCTGGTTTCCGCTGCCCCAGCCTCAAACATACACTTGCCTTTCTTCAGCAATCTTCCCTGAATAAAGATCACTGGATAGGAACCAGGTGGAAGTTCTGCCACATACAAGTGAACCCGGCTATATGTGTTTGTATGTGAAAAAGTGGGATGGCAGGAAATACAACTTGGAGTCCTGCCTATTTCATAGTTTCTGCATGACTGTAGAATTTGGAACTAACAGACTAATGTTACAGTAAAACCCAAGTGTATTGCACCATTTGCGGGGGAGAGCATATGTTGCTCCCCAATGTCTTTAAAATCAGACTTCATGACAATTTATATCAGTCAATTTATGTCATTTTTGTAATGATATAATTATGTATATGATGAAATGTATGTCATTTGTGTAATGATGTCGATATATAAATTCACGTAAATTAGCTTAAATATATGTGACTCATCTGAACTACTTTCAATTTAGTGGACTTAGCCATTATTTCCAGGGAATTTCCAAATGGAAATTTTGTCTGTTGCATTCAGTTTACTAAGTGTGTGTGTGTGGGGGGGGGCATTAAATCCAGATTTTGCTGTTGAAAATGGAAGGATTTTCACTGTTCCTGCATCAACCCCAGAGGGAAGGAAATGTGTGAAAGCCCACAAAATTCCTTCTCTGATGCATTTTACAGATAGTTTATATTCTATATAGAAGTTATTGAAAACAAAAACTGCACCAGAACTCTGTATAAGTTTTAGCACAAAATTGGAGTTGTCCTATGCTTTCAACACCATTCAAATTTGTTTAGTGTAATCCTGTTGAGTTCATTGGGCCTTATTCCAGGATAGGTATGTACACATTTGCAGTCTTAATCTATCAATTTAAGTTCGCATATTAGTAAGTCTTATGGATCACAATTCTGAGTTAACAAGAATATTCTATTTTCAATCTAAAATTGTGGGTTTTTTGGAAAGAAATCTGGATTTGGTGTGCAAACTATCAATTTTCTCTAATAGAAAAAAAAGAGAAATTAAATATAGCCTTGCAATAGCAACATGAAGTAAGAAAAATACATCTGTAACATTCATATGAAGTTGAGAGATGAAAGTTAATAGTTCCATAAATAGGGCAAGTGAGTTGCAATATATTGAAATCCTTTCTGTCTTAGTTGCAGAATAATACCCAAATAATGTCATTTTCTCTGCATTCCATAGATTGAATTAGAGAAGTTGTTACACTGGAACATGGCTGTGCGTGATTTCCACATCCTTGTTAACTTGGTCAAGGTGGGTAACATTTACATTAATGTTCCTTGTGTATGAAACCATAATGGCATTTTGTCTGTGGATATCTTCACTATAGATTACACAGATTTAAATACACTGACTTGATTTTGTAGACCCAGTGAATTGTGTTGAAATTTTCTTTTTATTCTGAATACATTACTCTTCTACCAAGTTTAATGGCATCCTATTGTAAAGGCACAAGAAATAATCTAATATTCTGATGTGCCTTGTTTTAGCAAGGCAGATCACATGCAAGAAAGAACATAGATCCTGCAAGATTTAAGTACTGTAAGAGATTTCAACCATATGTATTTATATATTCACTGAAATTTGTGTCAGTGGATCCCATCTGTGATGTGAGTGATCCTGGAAGCAACATATTGCTGACTTTCAGTCTAGACAATTGGAATTACTTTGCATATCACAGTCTCTTTTTTAAAACTATCCATGTTCTTTGCCTGTATTAAATTCCTATTCTTAATTTTTTGTATAAAAAATTCTATTAAAGTAGTCAGTTCCTTACTTTGCCATTATCTAACAAACATAACATTCCCAATTTTGAAGAGATGCTTAGTTTGCAACTGTCTTCCCTTCCTTCCTTCCCCCACTGCCAATATGTCACACGCACACGTCTGTTTGCAGAGGGGGAACTCTCCAGTTTTGGTTTCAGTGGGATTTGGCAGCCCTTCTCATGTCACAGTGGGGATTGCATTCTCAGATCAGATTTAGGGTAAAAAAATTCTTCTGTGCTATCCTGTAGTTAGTTAGGGTAACTTTTGAGAAGTTTGAGAGCATATACAGATAGTATGGGTGAGCCCATTTTGTGGTTAGTTGGAGTGTTTATGAGTGTTCTCAGCTGCTATTTTTTTGTTATTTCTGTTGTTTTTATAGTTTTTACTCTGTTTTAATGCTTAGCCACCCAGAGTCATGTATATGAGATGGGCAGCCTATTAAATAAATGAATAGCCACCTTTCTTTCAAGTAAATACTGTGGTATCAGTGTGATATCTAGGAAGGAATGTGGTGATCTGTTCTGTTCGTGCTCTGCAGTAGTATTTGTATTTTTTAACTAGCACTATATTATCTTATACTTGTTATGCAAGAGGTTTTTTCCCCTCTTTTTCCAAACAGGTATTTGACAGCCGCCCTGTACTCAGTGTTTGCTTGAAGGTGAGTGAGAATCACATGACAAGAGTCATGAAATTTAGGAAAATTTTAACTATTTTTATATCAGCTTCCTCCCATATACAGCTGCTCTGAGTATAGATGTCCACGGCGTCTTCATGTCAGTGTTTTTGGGATAACCTTTCACACCAGCATATTTCCCTAGGAGAAAGCTGGATTTCAGAGGTAGAGGATCATAACTGCTGTTGAGGGGAAAGCATTGTGACTGCCTTCAATGCTGAAAAGCTGCAGCCACTTTAGGACTTCCAAAAGCTTCCATTCTGAGAAATCCACTTGACTCTGTACCTTATTGATATCAATACAGGTAGTCCTCATTTAGCGACTGCAATTGGTTCTGAGCGGTGCTTACAACTTTACTTTAGCTTTCCTTAGGAAGCAGACAAAAACATCAGTGTGAAACTGATTAGGGTCTTGTCAGCTTCACACAGCAGCTGCTAGCCAGCCTGAGGGTTCTAATCAACTAATTAAGATCACAGCTGAGTTTTTTAACTTGCTGTTAGCATTTTTTAGGGATGCTCTGCACTGTGGAGAAAAGCAGCTCAGGAAGAGATTGCTTGTTTAGGTAACTTCCCCTCTGCAAGTGGGGGAAAAAGAAAAAAAATGGGTCAGGCACAGGACATGATACTGTGCTTACTGACTGTAATGGCAAACTTGTGACTGAGAGAAAGATGCTGCAAAGATTGTAAGTGCACTCATTGATCACAAAGTTACTTTTTCATCACCATCATAATTGTGAACAGTCGCTGTCTGAGGCAATTGCTAAACAAGGACTACCTGTAACTATTATGAAAAGGAGGAGGCAGTGTGGATTATTTAACAATAGATGCTGATTATGTGAAATTTGGGTTATGGGTACAAGGGGTTTGCATATCACTGCCTGAAATTACTGCCCAGGCCCTGAACCTGCTCAGTCTCTCCAACGTATACCATCTGAGTACACGAAGATTGCAAAGCAGAAAACTGCTGACTGCAGTGTAAACTTTGGGTAGGATTCAGTAAACCTTTTTAGTCAGCAACATGAGAGGGTGAAATGATAGTCTCTCTGGTTTTGCTGCCTTGTGTACATCGAAAATCTGCTCCAGAAGGTGGAGGGGGATATTAGTGGGTATATGGGAGGGAGGAGAGAAGGTAGAAGTCCCACTTGCATTGCAATGGCTTCCATCCTAAATATCTGGTTTCATTGTCAGACTGTAAGGGGAGCAACTACTTCGGAATTATTCTGGAAGCGACACTAGGAAACTCTAATACTCTGCATCTCCAGAAAATTTATTTTCCAACATGACTAGTACGCATCCTGGATTTGCTGAGGAAGAGCTCATTTAAATAAATGTGATGATGATAACAACTTTTAAGAAATTAAATCATTTAAAATTTAAACATGCACAGTGAGTACTTGAATGCTGTGATTTATGACTGGTTTACAACTCAGGTTAGAACACTTACCCATTTTTGTGAGAATTGGCCACATTTGCTGACATTTTGTGTTTTTGTTTTACCCAGTATGGTCGCCTGTTTATAGAGACATTTTTGAAGTTTGGCATGCCCCTCTTGGACTACAGCTTTAAAAAGCACAGGGTAAGGTGTCAGGGATGGGGCTGTTTCTGGATTGACTGAGAGTGTTTTGAGCTGCTTATATCTGTTCTTTCCAAGTCTGTACTGCAGTGACTTTCTGCAGAAAATTAGAGAAAAGGAAATGTTTCGCATAATTGAGTAACTGGAAAACTGAATGGTAAGGACTTTGAAACAAGAGATTTTTCTTGCAAATCTGGCAAGACTCAAAACAAGCACATGTAGTTAGATAATATCTTATTAAATTAGTGCTATATCATATGTTATTTTTTTTTAAAATGTGCATATTAGATATTTCAGATGTCCATGTGTCAATTTACATGTATTATATCGATGACCTTTTTTTAGCCACCAGCATCATGTACAAGTGGGCGGCCATTGAAACTGAAATTGTAAAATAAATAAGTTCTTGTAAAAGACCCAATTTGGTACAATGGTTAAGGGACCAGGCTAGAAACCTGGTAAGGTAAGATAAGATAAGACAAAGTAAGGTAATACCTTAGAGAAGTCAGTCTAGTGCAGTGGTTAAGGCACCAGGCTAGAAACTGAGAGACCATGACTTCTAGTCCTGCCTTAGGCACAAAGCCAGCTGGGAGACCTTGGGCCAGTCACTCTCTCTCAGCCCTAAGAAGGAGACAAGGGCAAACCACTTCCAAAATACCTTGCCAAGAAAACTGCAGAGACTAGTCTAGGCAGTCGTCAGGAGTCCAAAACTGACTCAAAAGCACACACACACACAAAAGATTGACTTACCACTCAGTTTTTACAAAGGAGAAGATGCCCTCAAGTTGACTTCAACACATCCGTGCACTTTTTTTTAATAACGGTACAGAAGTGGTTTGCCACTGCCTTTTTTAGCAAGGACGACTGATGCCCCTTTCTTCTTTTATGATTTTTGTATTGTTTTTTGCCCTGAAATATTTTTAACAATTGTAAACCGCCCAGAGTTGCTAGGGTCGGGTGGCATATAAATTTAATATATTATTATTGTTGGTTGCATAATCAGCCAGTTGTTTAGATTGGATCTGGCATTTTTATCCACCTATTGGGTCCTTCCCAAGGACCTGGAATAGCAGATGTTGTTGTTTGATGGTGTTAAAGGAATTGTTGCAGGATGTAAGCTGTTCCAAGTAAGCCTGCCTTTTGTAATTGACTGATGGTGGTTTTGTCAATGCCGATGGTCTTCAAGGGGTGCTCTAGATGTTTTGGGATTGTACTCAAGAGGCTTATTATTATTATTATTATTATTATTATTATTATTATTATTATTTGGTGTTTTGACTTTGTGATCCAGTTTATGCCCTTGGAATTTGCTGGAGGTCTCATATACAAATGCTAAGCAGGCCTAACTCTGTTTTGCTTCTGAAGTATTCATTTAATGACATACCTGCCTTTAGGGTCATCTACTTTGTGAAGTGATTCTCAATGCTTCAGCATATTTTATTGAATGGACATACTAAAGAATAAACTATGATTTGTAAACCTCAGTAATTGAGATCACAAACCATCTTGTGCCACAAATATATACTGTAACTTTACACAACAAGATTTCAAATAAGTAGCCATTTTGCACAGGTTTCTAAATGGATTTCTTTGGGTTTGCAGGAGGATGTGCAGAGTTTGTTGAAAACCTTGCAACTGAGCACGAGACAACTTCACCATATGTGTGGCCACTCCAAGGTAAAGAAAACTACAACTACAGTGCTAGTGAACTCCGGTTATTTTAGTTTCTCTATTTCTAGCAAGTTAGCACACTCTTCTTATTTTATTCATCCTTTGTAAAGGAGCAGTGAAAAAGTATTTTTTGGAAATCCCCAATTCCGGACCATGCATAATAATGAGAATAAGGCTAACATTATTTAGGCTAATATGCTGTAAAACTGTTGTTTATCTGCGTTTTAATATTGCTGGTTCTGTTACTATAAACACACTTTATCATAATATTATAAATATTAATATCCTGATTTTTTTCCAGTCTAATTAGCAAATGCAAAGGCCACTGAGGAGACATGCCAAAGGCCACTTAGTGCATTCATAAAATAGGATTTGAACCCAATTTTTTTACATTCAAATCTAATATCCTTTTTCCGTAACAGTAATGATTATGTGCAATAAAAAGCCTGAAGAATAGGGTTCTTTCTTGGTTTGCACTTCTTTCCCATGTAGATTCATCAAGACACAGGACTCACCAGTCATGTACCTCTACTAAAGAAGTCCCTTGAGCTATTTGTATATCGAGTGAAAGCCATGCTGGCTCTCAATCATTGTCAGGAGGCTTTCTGGGTGGGCATCCTCAAAAATAGGGACCTGCAGGTAAGTGCCTGTGTGTCTTGTGAATGGCTCATTAGCTGGGTTTCACATGTGTTCAGTGGGCATTATTATTTGAAAAACTTGAAAATGAATTTTATTTTTTTATTTATGTATCAAATTTGTCACTGCCCATCTCGTAAAAAAGCGACTCTGGGCAGTTTACAGAAGAGACAAAATCAATTAAAATACACTATAAAAACAATCTTAATTATACATTCCAAGAATGATGGGAAATTGGCGAATAGCTCAGGGAGCACCATCAGGGCACTAACTGCTCCCAGGGACAATTAGAGTTCTTATCTTAATTGTCTGACCTCATGCAAAGGACTTGGAATTAAGCTTCAGAGAATCACTCGGATGTGCAAAAGGTTGCAGCTTATAGCAGATGACATTTAAATGAATTTACTGAGCAAGCTTTGGTACACAGAAAAAATGCCAAACTTAAAATAGTTTTCAAAAGATGAACAATAACTCTACTAAAATATAATTGTTACACTGACCTGGGCTCCCCATACAGGGCACAGAAGATATCATTACATCTTTCTTTCTTCTTCTCTAGCTTGTTTTTTTTTTAATAATTCTATTGAGGTTTTTAATAAACATAGTAAAATGAATACAAACTATACTAAAAGAAAAATAAAAGTGCAAAAAAAAAAGTTGAAAAGACAATAATAAAGAAGTGTCTTCCAACCTTCATCATACTGAGCATAAGCTAATATACTAACTTTGCACCCTCTTTTGAAATTAAAAAAAGAAAAACTCTTCTTCCCAGAGCCTAACTTGTATCTATTCGGAATCCAGAAATCATCATCTTTTCAATCCTAGTTCAGCAAAAAGTCCATTAGGAGTTATCAGAAATATCAAACAAGTAGTTTATCCCTGGTCAAATAGTCCAACTTCATATTCCTTCCTTTTGCTCTGCACAATCTTGATCTTTAAGTCATTCCTGTGGCATCACAGGATTTGATCTTTCATCACTCTTTGGTATTTAAAAGAAGTCTTCAAAGCTTTCAC